TTCGCCCTTTCTCTTTTTCGCTCTCACTCTCTTTCTCCCTCTGGTTGGGGGTTGTAATTGAACACAGCCATTTCCATGGTGCCATATTTTGAATAGTGAGGGGATGAAGTTACCGTTGTGTACTTCAGAGGAGCTACCTGGGTGGGCAGAAAGAAAAGGACTGCCCACATGGCAACAGTCAACACACACACACACACACACACACACACACACACACGCACACACACACACACACATGCACACACACGCACACACATGCACGCACTAGCACACACCACACACTGAAACGCATTTGCACTACAAGATTGTGCATGTCTGTATGCATGTGTGCACACAGGGCATGCATGCAGAGCTGCAGACAGACACATCCCCAAAAGCACGACTAAACTACACCAAAATAAATCGATTAAAAATCAATAAAACATCCCTTGACCTAGTGATAGTCAATACTGTCATCCATCGGACGGAGAAAACACATGCATCTCTAAACCGGCTAGAACTAGAAGCAGGCCGCCGGCGCAAACAGCTAGTAAAGCAGGCGGCCGAACAGCATTACAAATGGCTTCATTAATGTGGTACGAAGCTAGCGATGCTAGCCATCCGGTCGGACGTTTTCACCGTTTAAACTCTCCGCAAATGACATGTTGGGGCCTCTGTGCCCCTTTGCATGCGTGTGTGTGTGTATGTGTGTGTATAAGGTATATATGTGACATGTGACTCAGCATCGTGTCATATGTGTGTGCGTATGACCTGTGTGTTATTCCGGTTACACGGTCCGCCTGTGTTTTTTTTGCGGTAACACAGCGTGGCTGCGCCCCCCGAGGCTCGCAGCGGGGGTCGCATGCGCCGCTTCCTCCGCCGCATACCTCTGCTCTCCACATCCTAATTAATGTGAGGGCCGTTGCCCGGGATCCCCTATAAAAATCATACAGGACTATACCAATTTCCTGGTACCTCGCGAGCTTACATGTGCTTCTTGTTCTTCGGCATAAAAGTTTCCTTTCCCCCCCGGTAACCCCGGGAAGATTTACGCGCCGCGCCGCCCATCCTCGCCCCTTTTTTTCTTTTCTCTTCCCCTCTCTCCCATTTTGTTTCCATTTCGTTCCTCTTGTTTAAACCCCCAAACTGAAGTCACTTTTTTTTTTTTTTCACTGTGCTGTATAATTTAACGCTTTGCAATTATAGCATTTTGTTAAGTTTGGGGTGGTTGAGGGGGGAGGGGCAGCACATATTATTTGTATGTTATGTATATAATATAGAGATATAATATGTGTTTGTGTGTTTGTGTGGGAGATGTTCAAAAGCTGAGGACTCATTTGAGGCCGAACTGAGCTGGGCTACGAAAACCTCTGCAGATTGTTGCGGCCGGCCGTGCGTTGGCAGTTATTTCTGGAGACGTTTAGCGTTAAATCTTACACTAACATCCAGCGCTTTATAAACAAGTGTGTATCCTTTTACGCTCGTTTCTGCGAGTTTCCACCGGGTTGCGAAGGGTCAAACCCGGAGTCAAACGTGGAAACGGCGTAAAAGACATGCAGACTGATTTTACACACAACTGCCCCCAACACTCAGAAGCAGTAACACAACTTTCCGCGTGATGCATAGCAGATCCCCTTCGACAACACACGCCCCAACGCACGCACACACCCCTGCCACACACACACTCACACACACATACACACACACACACAGGCATGCAAGCACACAGACACCCACCTCCCCCCCTGCCACACACACCCACACACACACACACATGCTCTCCCACATGCATTTAAACCACAACATTGTGCAGGTTTGTGCGTATTGTTACCTGCAACAATACGCAGTTTCCACTGATTCAAGAACCCGAATTCTTGTGATAAACTGATAAACTAATAAATCAAAACATTTCCATTGATGTGGACCGGCTCTCTCAGCGGCAACCGGTCACGACGCCATTGTACGGCTGTGGTGACCGATGTTGTTGTTGTTGTTGTGGTTGTTGTTGTCGTAGCGATCTGTCCCATTGCCTCACAGCTCTGTCCCAGTGCTGGGGGGGGGGGGGGGGGGGGGGGGGGGTGATGGGGGGGGGATGCCTTCAGGGTTCCCGCCTCCCGGGACCCATTCAATCAGACGCCATATATTCTGTCATTTACTTCAACTGATGCGACTCGATGCAACGGCCGGGTTTTACTGTCTCCTTTAAAGGGGGAGGGGGGGGGGGGGGGGGTGGAAAGGGAGGGGGTGGGGGGGGGACTTAAGGGGTGAGAGACTACGTTTTTTTTCTGTGTTGTGTCTCAGCAAATGTGCCCCCCCTCACACACACACATACACACACACACACACACACACACATGCCTAAAAACAGAATGACCCCAGTCCTCCCACCCCCCCCCCTCCCCTCCCTCCCCCCTCCCTCCCTCCCAGTCCCTATTCTGTCTCTCTCTCTTGGGGTGTCCCGTGACCGGCCAGGACAGCTTTATTGGCTTATTGGCCCTCCAGCGACCAACAGGAAAGGGAGGAGGGAAGAGGGAGGAAGGGGGTGAGGGGGGTGGGGTCTGGAGCCTCGGCCCTGGCAGTGAGGAAACAAGAAGGTGCAGAGGCTTTTTTTTCTCCCCCTTCTTCACCCAGAGACTGATGACTCCAGCTTAAGGAAGGATTGATAAGCAACTGTTTGGGGTGGGGGGGTGGAGGGGGTCAGGGCCAGTGCGGTCGGGGTCGGCGAACACCAGGAAACAATATGATGGTGAGGGTGAGGGGGGGTGAGGTAGGGGGGGGGGGTGCAAGGACTTGTGCTGATTCACCACTTGTTCTTGTTCTCGTTGTTGTGTTTGTGTTTTGCGGCGGGTTCACGTCTCAACTCTGTTGTTCACGCGGTCGTCCGGCCGTCGCCATGACGCCCTGGATGGCGAGCGATGGCGGCGGGTGGCGGAGGGCGGCTGACGGCGGCCGACGGCGGGCGCCTTATCAGCCCGGTCGATGGCGGGGGGGGCAACGTTGGATGTGCGCCAGACGGACTTCTCCAGACCAACCGCTCAAAGTCAACATGAAGCCAAACAGCCACCATTGTCTTTCACCTGGAGAATGTGGATTCCTGAATGAATGCTCACCCCCCCCTCTCCCCCCTTCCCTCTCCCCCCCCCTCCCCCCCTCACTCTCCTCCCCCCACAGTCCACAAACACTGGCTCCTCCTACTGCTGTCCCTTTGTTTCCTGCTGATAACTGGAACAAATGGACCAGAGCAGCAGAATGCGTGGGTTCGTCCACCGCGGTACTACGCGCCCCCCCCCCACACACACTGCGAGCCGTCCCCACAATCCTTTGCGCCACGCCTTCACGCGTCCAACACAAAGGGAACGGGAGCCTGTGTGGGGGTCAAAGGCTAAATGTACGTGTGTACCGTAACACAACGTGGCTCTTTAATCTTACCGCTCTCATTACTATTAATACTATGTTGCTGTGGCAACCCAGGGAAAGGGGTTGTGTATGGATGTTGTGTGTGTGTGTGTGAGTGCGTGTCGCTGCCTCTGTGCATGTCCATGCTTGTGTGTGTGTGTGGTTGTGTGTATATGCGGTTATGTATCTATGATATGATATGTATGAAATGTATGACATGATATGTCTGATATGATATGTATGATATGATATGTATGTATGATATGTTTGTATGATATTATGGATGTATGATATGATATGTCTGATATGATATGTCTGATATGATATGTATGATATGTATGTATGATATGAGTGTGTGGTGCTTGCACTCATATCATACCACCACACACGGTGGTCACGCCTGCACTTTTCTCTCACACCAGACTTCAGATTAATATCTAAAGACTTTAGATTAATATCTAAAGTCTGGTGGCAGACGAGCCCACATCTGGGTGACTTTCTTTCGCTTCATATTTGTTTCGACCAATCATGTTGCAGAAGGCGGGGCTCTAGTAGCGTATAATAAGCAGACACTAACTCGGCCAGCGGTAGTAAACTGTAAAAAAGTATCTGTAAAGGTTTCAAATGAACAACCGTGTAGACTGGCCACTGTAGACATACTTTAATCCCCTTCTGGAAGCTTCATCCACTCGCGTGAATGAGTTCTCTTTAATAGAAATCTCCGTAATGAAACAGGAAACAAGGTGTAAAGTTCTCCGCCCCTTGCTGTTGTTGGTTTCCGACCCAGACTCTGGACCGTCTCCCCCCAGAAGGTCTGCTGCTATAACAAAGTAGGACTCCTGATTATATTTATGATGTTTATGAACAGCCTAATAAATATCAGGGGTGGGTTTATTGGTTTTTAAGTATTTTTCGCCGTTTGTTGGGAAACACTCAACCGGGGTGGGGGTTTGCTTTTGACTCGTTTTTATTTTTTCTCCGGGTCGAGGAGGAAACCCCCCCCCCCCCCCCCCGACGGTGTAACAGCCTGCTGTAGGAAGTGCTGCTGGCCCACATTAACATGGCGCACGGCCCCAGCAGCCCCGCCAGGGCTAAAGGTGAGGGAGGTGAGAGGGAGGGAGGTGAGAGGGAGGTGAGATGGAGGGAGGGAGGTGAGGGGGGGGGGGCTCATGTGCCATGCGTCCCTATGATTACCCGGTGATACCCGGTGATTTGAGGGAAACACGCGCTAGACGCCAGCTGGTGGGTTTCCTCCGTTCCTTCCTCCATTTCTGTCTTCTGCTGCGGCGTGCGTTGCGAGACTCTGAGTTCAGGTTCAGTTCAGATCTTTATTGTCCCCTGAGGGGACATCTGATTTTAAAGTAGAGGCCAAAAACACAGACACCACACGAAGACCAGGACCTGGGACACCGGTCACAACAGTCACAGCAAACAATCGTATCAAACCATGGGAATGGCGGCCATAATAAAAGTGCTGCTCAGCAGTGCAATTAAGGTTTAGTGCAAATAAGGGCGCATTTATTGCATTTATTGGAACAAAGTAAAATTGAAAACTATTGCATCTCCACCCAGGAGGCAGAAGAACCAATTCCTCCGAGAGCTGGGAGCTGGCATCATGGGTGCATCATGGGTGCCACTGGTCACAAGGACACGGCGTTAACGTTGCCAGGGGTCAGGGGTTCGATTCCCTCTGGGACCACCCATGCTAAAAAACGTCTGCACTCACGGTACTGTGAGACGCTTTGGATTGAAGCGTCCACTAAATGGCGTATATTAATATTATTATTATTATTACTACTGAATGAAGAACAATGGAAGAAGTGTGCAAACGTAAAACTTTCTTTGTCTCTCCATGTCAACTCTAGATGTGACCTAATTCGATGATATAGATATTATACATTGCTGATGTACTTGTAATAATATCAATGAGACAGACATATTTTTTACACTATTTTACTCGCTACAGCTTTTTGTCCTGATGGTTCACCTCTATACTTATAGTATCAGCATTTTATCCACTCCTCTTTTAGTATTTTTGGGAACCCGAATCGTGGTTTTCACCTCCAACCGTTCAAAACATCAAAACTCTCCCGTTTCGGGGTTGGACTCATATACACTGTGTGCTGCTGCTGCTCGGTTATTTTATTGAATATTTCATGCATCTCGCAAAGATGTCAGAACCAGATGTTTGGACAGGAGTCCGTATTTATCACCGCGTACCACCTGTGACTCGGGGCCGCACTCCGCTTTATTTCTTTCCTTGGGAACGGGAGGAGGAACGCGGTCCAAGTGTCCTTGAAGGAGGGTCACAATACCGGGAATGTTCAGGAAGGAAGTCATGGAGGCAGGCTAGCGCTATGCACACCCTACACCCCCCCACACACACCCTACACCCCCACCTCCCCCCCCTACACCCCCATACCCCCCACCACCATTTTTGTCTTTTTGTGTTTCTCCTCTCTCTCTCTCTCTCACCCGCCTTGGGTGGGAGAGTCTCTGATTTGTGTATGTGTGCTGTGTAAATCCGCACCCGTGTGTGTGTGTGTGTTTTGTTTGTATGTGTGTGTGTGTGTGTGTGTAATGCGGATGCATTGACGGGGTGGGGGGGGTAAGTGCCCCCCCCCCCCCCCCCCCCCACATCCACAGGCTGTCTCTCATCACACCGTTGACCCCCCAGGAAGCTTTAGATGTCCGTCTGGCTTCATAACTCCCTTATCAAGCTAATCTGGGAGAGAGCGAGAGGGAGAGAGAGAGAGAGAGAGAGAGAGAGAGAGAGAGAGAGAGGTAGGGGGGTGTAAATGTGTAAATGGAGCACCGTGGTTTCCAGCATCCAGTTTCATTCATTCTCTAGGTATAGGTAGAGAATGAATGCATGAATGAATGAATACCTGCACGGGAGACTGGTTAAGTGTTATTATGCACCATGCCCTCCTCACCCCCCTCACCCCCCTCCCCATCCATCCATCCCTCTGAAATGAAAGACAGTTTTGACATTTTGTTTGTGATTGTTTGGACATGTATGCAAGTGTGTATGTGTGTATGTGTGTGTGTGTGTGGGGGGGTATGTTTGAGTGTGTATGTGTGTGAATGTGTGAGTGTGTATTTGTGCTCAAGTTTTTGCGCTCAAGTGTGCGTGAGTTTGTGAATGCGTGCATGCCGAAGTGTTTGTCTGAACGTGTGTGTGTTTAAGTGCATGTGAATGTGTGTGTGTGTGTGTGTGTGGGTGTGTGTTCTCATGCTGCCATACTTGCCCCCCCCCCCCCCCCCCCCCCCCCCCCCCGCCCCCAACAACATGCTAGAGTATGATTGATCTGGGCAGAGGCAGTGGTCACATCCTGAACGGGACTTGATTTCCTCCCCTGCCGAACACAGACCTGGTGTGTATCATAGGCTCAGTGTCATGTTTGTATGTTTTTAGAGATCACTGCAAAAAGGTAATGGAAGACAGGGAGGCGGGACTCTGCCTGAAAAAGGTTGAAATCAGATCTCTCTCTCTCTCACCAAGCATAAATCTCAGAGCGGATGCAGCGGATGCAGTTACTCATGAAAAGTGCTAATTGATCCACAGGAGTCATGGCAGCAACCAGACCATGTATACAGCATGTTGGCCAAGAGGAAGAGAGTGCTGCTGGATGTCTCACTCACACACACACACACACACACACAGTCAGGTCTCACTCAGGTCAGATCTGCGTTGCTCAGTCTTCCTGCCCCCCTGTGTGTAATTTACTAGCATCGCTTCCTGCGGCGCCACACTTCGACTCTTCCAGCGTGATGTGATGACAACCGCGCCGCAATAAGCAGCTTCTCTTCAGGCCATTCATAACGCGAGGTGTCATTTAGGATGGTCAGGGTTGACAGGAACCCCCCCCCCCATCCCCCCTTACTCGTGGCTCATGGCGCCTACGCTCGCGGAGGCCTGCACCCATCGGCGACCCACATCTGACTTTGATATTCACCTTTGAACTTGCAGCCCCGGCGACGGCTGCTCGCTGTTTCCGAAAGGAAAGCCCTCGGAGACCTTGGTTGTATTGCGCTTCCCGAAAAGCTTTGTATACCTTGAACTCATTCTGTCTTCTTGTAAGGGCGCCCGCGGCGCTCGAACCCCTTGTCTCCATGTCCGTCCGTCAGTCTGTCAGTCTCTTAGCCTCACCCCCCCCCCCCCCCCCCCCCATACCCAGTGTGTTTGGGCGGGTTCGGCCCCATTACAGCCCCGGAGGCAGCCTTCCCTTGGATATCACAAGACTAGAGTATAATCGCAGGATCCTTCCCTCTCATTACCTACAGGTAATTTCTGTTCGGGCAGTGTCTCGTCTCTCTTGGGTATTGTCCCTCTCTCTCTCTCTCCCCCCCCCCCCCCCCTCCCTCCCTCTCTCTCGCTCTCTCTCTTTCTCCCTCTTTTGTCTCATTACACGTCACTCGTTTTTTTTTTTAACCTGGGTTCCTGTCCGATCGTGTCTGAACGGCGGCGTTGGCGTCGATTTGAGGGCAAGGCAGGGCTAAGCGTGTGATAATGAGTGCGTGTGACCGCCGCTTGCGGTTATCTATCATCATGCTCCTGTGCCATGACATCTTCCGAAGCTTCATCCGTTGCCCACGCAGGCCCCCGACACAATGGGCCTGCTTCTCTCATTGTCGCCGCCTCATCTCGCTCACTCGCCCGGTTTGCCCACTTTTCCATTCAACCCGCTGTGATTAATGTGTGTGACAGAGTCAAAAGTGCATACATGTGTGCCCTTTCTAACTCGGGCGACGCCCACCTGGGTGAATTCCATCACAGAAGCCGATGGTTAGCGCCGACGAAATCCCCAGGTACCCATTAATATACGGCGTCTATCCCCCCGCCGAAAGGCGAGTTGAAGCACGCCGCCGACGGTGTCTGCCTTTTGAGTTCAAGTCTGAGACGCTCTGGTCTTCCCGCTCCAAGACCTTTGGCAGTTACCCTGACAAAGCACCGCAGTCGCCGTGTCTCCATCTAACTTTTAAGCAAACCTTTGAAATGTCACTAAAAAGACAAAAAGAGAAAATGCGAATTCGGCACGTTTCCATCGACCGGTTTGGAGCGAATAAGCTAGGCTACGCAAAGCGTTGTGCGGTACTTGCTACGTTACGCATGGCTGTAATAAAACAGCAGAAGAAGTAGATTATGGTATTCTGCTGCTGGTTTCCATCTACGACGGTTGTGATGTTTTTCTTCATGGATGAGACCGAAGAATATCCTGGTCTCCTCATTGGTCCATGCGTACCTGTCGCTGCTACCAACCATGTTTTCGCCGCCCTGCACGGCGGTCACAACAAAAAACGACACGATATTCACTTCCCTTATCCCCTAATCTTCCCCTAGAGTTCAGTTCAACATCATGAAACACTGTCTTCATCCATTTGCTTGAATGGTTCACAAATAGAGCAGACAGAGACGTTGAAGATAGTTACACTTAGTCTATATTTTATGAAGGGCTTATGTTTTTCTTACAAGCCACAGTAAGACAACACCAATCAGCTTTGATTCTGTGCTGGAGAGTCTCCATATCGTCTGGCATCGCGAGGCGCGAGCCTGCCTTACTCTTCACTTTTTAATATAATCGAGCAGATATTCTTATCCAAAGTATTCCTAGAGGTAAGCCGAGGACATCGGGAATCGAACCCAGGACTTTTTGGCCACGAGCGGAGCACCTCGGCCATGACGACACTCGCCTGCCATATGTCTATCATTTCATCGCCTCTCCTCTTCCTCCGTTGCCATCCCTTCTCATGTTTGAATCTGCAGTAGTGCCGGCCAAAAAGACTGATATCATAACATTGTTTAATAAATGATAACATCAATTCAATGTATAAAAGTACTTGTCGGTTTTGATATAAAAAGTTTTCGGTTGGCTCTTGTTTCCCCGTCGGTGCCGACTGCAACCGAGCCAAACCACAAAACCCACACCAGAAAGGCGTAGTTAAAGCACAGATGCTGGGCAGCCTGCAACACTGTTAACCTATACACCCTGCTCTGTACCTTTTGGACAAAAAGTAGTCGAAATATAATGGTTATTCCAAACCTGCTCCGAGTCAACATAAAACACTCAGGCGAGCAACGATACCGTGAAGTAAAAACAATATTAAGTGATTCCTTATGGATTTTGAAAGCTTCATGGATCGCCTTGCTTGTGCTACGCTGAAGCACAAAGTGACATGGAGGTCCACCCCTCCCTGGATGAATGGACCTCACCGTTTCCGACCTCCACAGTCGCGTCTCAACAGTATGAAACGCACCCTACTACCCTGTTTCAATCCCTTTCAGACCACTTCTTGAGTAATCTGTTGCTTATAGTCCTGCGTTTTTCACCAACGCAAAACCAAAACAAGACGTTTTCACGTTTAACACCCCTCCTCGTTTTAACACCCACATCGCCCTCATCCTCTGATCAAATAGACTCCTGTTCGTGATCGTCTCAGAAAAAACAGTATGAAGTGGTTGTGCGGTGCTAACGGTTTCCCTTTGCATAGCGTTACTTTTGAATCGCGTATCGGAGGTGGGGGGGGTGGAGGGGGGGGGGGGTGGCGGGGAATAACAGAGTGATCGGGAATAACGGGATTTGCGTCGTCTGCCATATGTTTCTCATGAAGTGAAATCTGGAGGAATGCTGGGCTTTGGTGAGAAGCCGCTGTGATTTGTGAGGTGTGTGTGGTGGAGAGAGGTTTGCGGGGTGGGGG